GAGAGACGCGATTGGGACTTAGGGATCCCCTGTTTCCTTTATTAAGAATAAGCGGGATCGAAAAGCCATCAGGATGTTTAGCAACAACGCACTAAAATCCTTTATGAAGAAGGTAGGTACATTGTTCCATATGGAATTTTTTCAGATCAATTTTTATTAAGCGATTGAGAAATGATTTTGTCCATGGAATTTTTATTACGTTATTTATCCAAACTCGACGCATCGCTTTCGAACATGAATTTGATGAGAGTAGCGTCGAATTTAAATTAAAAAAAAAAAATGGTGACTTTTAACATGATATTAATATGCAACGGTGAAAAAATGACGCTGTTCAGATCTATAGTGAAATACAAATTACACATGATGCTAATTGTCAAAGATTCCGCGGTATAATTGCATTCCATACATTCGATGATTGTGATATGGATTTCATTCATATTCGCGATTAGAATACGAATGAAAATTACGTCACATCACGTCACGATTTCCAATCGAGTTTTTTTAGACGTAATAAAATGTAAAGCCATGCAGATGTGAATTATACACTAAAACGTCCGTAATTACATCATGCGATCCGAGCCGCACGGGTTGCACGGCGAGAGATCTGCATGAATCGAATCAGGATAGAAAATTCTCGGTAATCGATAGATCGTGCCCGGAGTACGCGGCTGGTTATTTAACGACCGGTTTCATCCTGGCGAATATCTGCGGCGCATCGAATATTCAACAGTTGGCATCGATCCTGTTGAAAATACGGAGCGCCCGAAACGGACGATCCCAATATCTGTCCAGACCAGACCTGTGCACCCAAGATCCCGAGACTCTCAGGCGCGATTTTAAGATATATAGGTACAGCGAACTTGGTCTCTCGATCAATGGCAATGTAAAGCATTTATTCGTGTGCAAATCGGTCGTCACAAAAGTCATACTTTAGAATTGTAAATTTCCCCTCAACACAGCTACTTCCGTTCTCTCGGTCAGCGAGTGCTATTCCATTTGGCGTTAATCGTGCCATGTAATCTGATCATTCGCATAACTAAATAGCAAAAGTCTGCGTTTTAACGTCATGATGTTACAATATATGCCATTTCATATAATGGCGTGAGATATAATTAAAATTGAATATTAAAATTTATTGATATTGAAATTAATATTGTTATACTGCGTCACAGTCATAAATATCAAATATTTGATATATCAAATATCGTGATATGTTGAAGCAAGATGAGAAATCATATGTTTCGGCATTTTCAATTATTTAATTTTTTGATAACACATTAACAAATCAAAAAAAAAACACAAGAAACACCAGAACGGGATTAGTCGTTTCTTATAGGTTTTTGGATGCTGAACACGAATCCGGTTTCGAAATTGTTCCATCACGTCAGAATTTTGAGAAATTTGCAATTAAATGTGACGTGCTGAAGAAGTTTTATTGCAATCAAAATAAAGTATGTTGTTAGGACTTTCAACTCTCAAAAGGAATTTTTGGTGTCGGTTATGGTTAATAAGATATCCATGGTTAAATATGGGGTATATCGCAGAAGAGTTAGCTGTGACTTAGGTTATTGACGACTTACTAAATAGCTTTCAGTTATATTTATTTAAACTTAAGAGTTTTTTAGATCTCTGTATATGAATTCAATGTCAAAATTGTCAAATTCAAAATAGTGGACTCAATATGACGGATATCAAAACTTAAAAAAATGTTTAGATTGCAATCTAAAGATTTGAATCCACTATTTCGAATTTGACAATTTTGACATTAGATTCGTATTGAGCGACCTAAAAAACTCTTAAATTTAAATAATAATTGAGAGCTATTTGGTAAATCGTCAATGATCTAAGTCACAGCTAACTTCTGCAATACACTTTATATTTAACCATGGACATCTTATTAATCATAACGGACACCAAAAATTCCTTTTGAGGTTTGAAAGTCCTAATAACATACTTTATTTTGATTGTAATAAAATTTCTCCAGCACGTCATATATTGTAGCTATAACATGACAAAGTTCGTGAAAATAGCCCTTTTTTGCAACTTTAATTACAAATTTTTCAAAATTCTGACGTGATGGAGCAATTTCGAAACCGGATTCGTGTTCAGCGTCCAAAAACCTATAAGAAACTAGTCCCGTTCCAGTTTTTTTGTTGTTGAACTGTGTTGTGTCTTGATAAAATAAAATTGCACTCACAGATATCATCTCTGCTATTGTTGTCCAAATCACTAGTTTGTGTATGAGTCTCCTCGTGTAGACGCCGCCCTGCATCAACCATCAGCGCGCAGCACAAAGCACAAAAATATCTCGGTTACATATCTGAGATGGTGCAATATGTACATACTAATGATATAATGTTCAAAAGCATGAAAACTTCT